TCCATGCTGCCTTGGTGGTTGGGACAGCTTGTCTACTCCGGCAGGTCAAGGGATCTCTGAAAGCAGTAATGGTGACCCACATTTCTCCCATGATGTCCAGTTCAGAACATCTCTTCAGTTGAGCAGGTCTTCAGTAAAGGCAATTCTGGGTGACCCTGAAGGAACCCAAAGGCCGGGTGCCCAGAGTGCCGGGGCCGGGTCTGTCCTCACAGCCCAAGGTACCTCGGGAGAGATCCGGGAGCTTTAGCTTACTATTAAAAGCTGGGAAAGGAGCCCAGCGGCCTGGCATTTTTCAGGGCAGAGTGAAGACCCAGCCCCTGAGATTTCTTTCTGCGCCGGGACCTCCATTCTGTCTGCTCTTAGCCTGGGCTCTCCCTGGAGCCCAGGAAAAGTGGCTGCTATTGGCAGCCTTCCATGTGGGCTCTGACTCTTCCAGCTGTAGGACACCTACAGCTGCTTTGCAATGGGTCCATCTACAAACCTTAGCTCCTCCTCCTCACCGCCACCCCTCGGACTACCACCGCCCCTGCTCTCTGCACACCCAGTACCTGTGGCTCTTCGGTGAAGTGAAAGTTAGCTGCCTTCTACCCGTGAATGGATGACACCTGTATAATGGTCCAGTGCAGGCAAACTGGCTCCTCCAGGGGAGGAGAGCTGGTCATGGTTTTCCCAGGGTTGTGACAAGCTTTATGGGATTGTGGGGGTCCTGCCTCCTCAGGAGGCAACTCAGGAGTTTGTGGATATTGTGCCCAGCAGCCAAGCTGTGAGGCTTTTTCTGAATTGGCTTTGGGGTACTTTCAGTGGAGAAAATTCCCAAGAGACACCAGAATCTAGAAAGCTGCTACCTCCCCACTGTATCTCCGCTGAGTAGGGAGCAGGCCGGGGGCGGGGCCTCAGGCCAGGGGCGGGGCCTGAGCCCCACAGCTTCGCCAAGCAGGGCAAGTCCACCTGGCACTGCAAAGGCTGACGGACCCAGTGGCTGGAGACTTTGGAGGGACTGAGCTCTCTTCCAACAAGACCAGATGGTTCTCTCTGCACTGTGCACAGCACTTGTTTCTCCTAGGGCTGCTCCGAGTGTAGGTGAGGTATATTAACTGTACCAAGTGCTGGGGTTTTGCAATGTTTGTCCTCTTCTGAATGTGACAAGGGAGTCTCGCAATGAGGACTGGGTCGGTGGCAGAGTGGTTCATGCTAAGGTGGAGGTCACTGGGTGATTGTGGGTGGGCTCCCTCCCACAAGAATTAACCGATACCTGCTGCAAAGGGCTGTGATGGTGTCACATGAACACGAGTGTCCGCCTTCTTCCTCCCAGGGATCTTCACAGCTCCATACGACGGGCGCTACCTGATCACAGCCACCCTTACTCCTGAGAGGGACGCGTATGTGGAGGCTGTCCTGTCAGTGTCCAATGCCAGTGTGGCGCAGCTGCACACGGCAGGCTACAGGAGAGAATTCCTGGAGTATCACCGGCCCCCTGGAGCCTTGCACACGTGCGGGGGCCCAGGAGCGTTCCACCTCGTCGTGCACTTGAAGGCAGGGGATGGCGTCAACATCGTGGTTACTGGGGGCAGGTTGGCTCACACAGACTTCGACGAAATGTACTCCACATTTAGTGGGGTTTTCTTATACCCTTTCCTTTCCCACCTCTAGGCAGAAGGAAGAGGTAAGGGGAGAGCTGTGAGAACTGGAAAGCTTTAATATATTCACTTTGTGTAACTGGAGCACTGGTCTAGTTTTCTGCCGACATCTCTCTCTCTGGCTTTGGAGGCCACCACACCTTAGAGACCCTAGCAGGCAGCAAGGAGTGAAACACGGCCACCGTCTTGTCTCTCCCACGGGCCCGCGGAAGAGGTGGACACGCCCCTACCTAGAAGCCAGGTTCTCTCCTGCACTTCTCAACTCCCATCTCTGCCTGAGCTCGGCCTCCAAGGTGCTGCCCTGTAGGCCTAGGCCATAGGATCATGTCCTGCTGACCGAGAGGCGGAGAGCTGCTTGCTGGCTGCAGGTCTGAGGCAGCAGGCTGGCCAAAACTGGTACCCGTGGCTACAGTCTTTACCAGAGAGCAAGTCGTCACCAAATGTCTTTGTGTTTATTTATGCTGCACGCTGGAGAGAAGTTTAAACACTGAAGTGGCATGCGCCACCACCCAGAGACCTGAAGTCTACGGTCTGGGCTGTCCCAGGTTTGGCTCGCCACTGCTCACCTGGGCCTCTGCCCAGCCATGAAGAGATCCGAGAGACTGCTGTGTAGCTTGCTGGGCTCCTTGAATGACATGTACAATTTACGTGCAAAGACAGGGAGTGTCAATAAAGACGTAAAACCACTGAAACACTTCAAGTTACTTAAATCTGCTTCTTTATGGGTTGAGAGTTGTTGCTAAAAAGCAAACTGCAGAAGGGTAATTGACTTTTTTTGATGGCTATAGAAAGTAAGCTTGAATAAATTCATCTCTACCATTTAACTTATTACCCCTCAGCATCCAAGATGTGTACTTTGTTCTTTTTTGCTGGTAAAGACAGACCAGATGTGCTTGGAGGGCAAGGCCCCCACGTGAGCCCTGCAGCTGAAGGGGGGCCTCCTCCAGGGGACGCTGAGAATTCACATCTAATTAGCAGCTGCCCGAGCTAACGAGATTGCTCGCTGCCCAGATCACGCAGATGTGGCTGTAAGAACTCACGGGTTTCCAGGCAACAAGAGGCCCAACATAAAGTTGAGCACACACTGAAAGCTGAGATCATCCGAGAGGAGCAGGCATCTTCCCATGGAGAGCACACGCTGTTCCCGGGAAGCCCAGGCAGGTCACGCCCGCACCAGCAGCCGCAGGAACCTCTAAGCACAGCAGACTTTAGCTCCAGGTGGTCTCTCCTCATCAGGTTGGTAAAATCTATTGGTTAGCAAAGTGCCCGGAGGGGAGGCAAGCCCCCTAGAGCCCCAAGAAAGATGTGGAGCATAGACAAGTTTCCTTGGCCTGAATCAAGCCATCAAAACTCTCATGCTGTAAAAATTGCTTTGAGTTTCCAGGGCTGCTTGCCAGTGAGATTATGGGGTGGCCCCTAGACACTGCAGAGAGGAGCCTTTTTCCTCACCTCCCACCCCCAGGCAAGGCTCAAGCGGCCAAGAACCTGAGGCGTTGCTGTTTCAGGATTTTAAAGTCTGGGCCTCTGTCCAGGAGTGCGGGGGAGAATGGCATTCTCATTGTATCTCTCCAGCTGAGGAACTGGCTAAAGGTGGCTGTCAGAGTATATCGCTGGCTTCCTAGAAATGACTCATGGAAAAAACCCCGGTGAAATGGAGCACATTCAGGAAACCCAGTTGGCACACACACACTTGTGCTCTCTCTCCCTCACAATCCCTTGTAAAGACCTTAACCCAGTGCCAAAGGGGAGAAATGTGCAATAGTCGGAAAGGCAGGGCTGTTCAGAGCAACAAGTAACATTTGGTCTTCCCCTCTCAGTGCATTCTGACTCATTCAGTGAAGGAAGGCGCATTTCAGCTTTGTGTGTCCCAGATACGCAAAGCAGACTAAATCTAATTATAGCAGGTCAAGATGAAATAAGAGGAAAGCCAAATCGTGGTCCATTTAGGAGATAGCATCTTTCAAAAGGGAAAGGCTGAGAGAACACAAGGTCACCTGAGCTGGAGACTGTGGGGCCCTGGAGCAGCCCCTTCCGGAAAACAACAGTGCTAAACTGTGTGCCTGTGAGCGAGACGTATGAACCAAGCCCTCGGACTCAGTCAGGCACAGGGTTACTGCTTCCGAAGTGAAGAAGTGGTTGCTGAGGAAAGCTCAGAGTACTTTTCTTAAGGTAAGCAGAGACAGGACTGGGACATTTTTCCTTCCCGCATGAAACTTCACAAATGGCCACAAAGAAATGACTGAAGGGGGGAAAAAACAAAAAACCGAAAACAAAAGACCTAGAATGATCCCAGCAATAAAGAATGCAAATCAATGCAAACTGCATTTGAAATTATTTCCATGTCAGCACACTGATCTAGCTTTCTCAGTGACCAACTGTTTTTCACAACTCATTTGTAATTTGAAAGGATCGGAGTATTTGTGATCAGAGAGACACCAAAGACTGTGCCGGTGTATTTGAAACTTGCCTGTGCACAGACCCACATCTACTTCCTAAGCATATATATGTGTCTTCCCCATACTGCCCTATCAAAGGTAAGTAAAGGGAAGAATACATGCCAACTCCAAGGGGTACAGAGTACAGCAGAAGGAAGTTGAGACAGGCCTTCTGAGCGCAGGGATGGAGCCTTGCTGCTCCTCCCTGAAGTGCGTGGAGCTACTGGGGTAAAAGCCATTGCCTTTGTAATCAACCTCCCCGAGTTCTTCTTTCCTCTTGCCCAAAGCACACCCCCCACTCAAGAGCCTTGGTTCCCTCTCCCCAACCCCTCACCCAGCTATGGCATGGCAAAGCATGAAATCAGAGCTCTCCATACTTGAAGGCACGCTCTCAAGGAGGACTTTAGGGATTCAACATGTTCAGCATATGCTGCATCTGGCAGGGCCCAGCGATCCAACGGGATAAAAAAATGCTCATTTAAATAATATGTGGGATGTGGTTTTTGATCTGAGTTCACTTTGACTCTCCTAAGCTGGTGAAAACATCAGGATTGCTAAGCAGTGCTCACGCCGAGGAAGGGTTTAAGGAAAGGTGGGACGGCTGTGAGCAGGGCCCTCGGGGACCCTTACGGGGGGGGGGGGGGATGGAAACACCCCGGAGGACCCCAGTGAGAACACACCAGACACCACACGCGCACGAATGAATCACTCCCTGGCACAACCTACAAAGGAAGAGGTTAGTCCCTGAGGGTGTAGCCTCACTTGTGGAGTCAGGTTTTATAAAAATAAGCACCAAAGAGAAGTTCTTTCTGTAGACATATTTAAGTGTCAGCAAAGATCAAAATGCTAATTTATGGAAATTAACATTTTCTGGCAAGAGTACAGAGAAGAGGGTTTAAATATCCTCTGAAGGAGAGAGTCAAATGCATTCAGTTTACGTTTGTTTATTGTTGTAACATCCTGTTTTAAACATCAAACACTGAACCAAAATATGAACCATTTATCTTCGGACAATGGTCTTTGCCATAACTAAGAGTACTGATGTTTACAATTAATTTATGACAATCTGAAACTTATTAGTGGCACTGCCATCTAAAAATCAAATATTTTATCATAGAGTGTAATTATTAAATCAAAAGAATGAAGTTTCCCCTCCCTTTCCCACCTTTGAACCAAAACACAGTCTTCACCTGGAAAGAGCACTTACTTGAAACAAGACCTCGATTTTTAGCTACTTTCATTCAATGCGGCATGCTCTAAAATGGGAAAATAAGACTTCCTAGTGTAAATATGATGATATTAAAAAGATGTTAAAATTCCCTGGAAAAGTCTGCTTTCATCAACTTATGAGAAAGAGTTGACTTCTTATTTATCTGTCAAAGGTCTTGCCTGCACTTTCAAGAACACACTGTGGAAGGGCCGAGTGTGGTCTTGCTGGCAAAAAGTACTGCACTTCCAGTCCTCTATTGGCTGTTGTTTTTCAGCTGTTCTCCCTGTGACTGTTAGCAGCTTTCATTTCAGGACAGCGCAGTAGTTAAGTTTTTTGTTTTTCCAGTTGAAAACTGTGCAGACGTGTTTCAGCACAGCAGACACGGGCTCACACACACACACACAGTGGCACGGCACACTGCAGGCCCACACGTGCACTTCCTAATGCCGGAGAGGATATAGATGTTGATGCCGCAGCTACATGAGCTTTAACACGCACATCGAGGCAGATGCTAAAGTCAGGTTGAGCTGGAAAGAAGGAAAGGGGCCAACCCGTGGCCGTTTCACCAGTGAAGCAACTGAGAAAATGACTCAGAAGAGCCCACTCTGCCTGCGGTCTACCCACGATACCACCCATCACCAAGAGCAGCGAAAGGCTCACACTTCTTCACTCACTCACCATCATAAGAGTCTGTGTACTAACACACTCAAGGGCATCTCTCTTTCACAGAAAGAACATGTCATTTGTACCAAATGGCAATGGATTTTCAGCACAAACCTAATACTTCATAACACTATAGCAATAGTAATCACCTACTTTTCAGCAAGAGGGGCTCCTTTAAATAAGGAAAAAGACTCATCAATTAGCGTAGTACCCACTGGATCAATCTGCAGTGAAGTGACAAAGTTGTGCTTATGAACAATGGGACAAAGAAACCAGCTGCCCTCAGCAGAGGGCTGGGAGACCTAGGCTCCCAGGTTGAACCTTCTAAGAAGGCCCACATGTGCAGAGAAAAAGAAACTGTCTAGTCAAAAACTCTCTAAAGGACAACCTAAAAAGGACTACAGATGGTGGACATTAAGAGTTTTCATACTGCACATGTGCAAGGAGGCCCAACTAGGTTCAGATTAAGTACATAAAGCTTATGTTCTTCTAAAGCAAACAGTCTAGGACACACTGATGGCATCTATGAGATCGAGAAACTGCATGGCCATTCATTCTACTGGGAATTTAATTCAGTAAACTGGGCAGAACTTCATTCAAACATAACCTAGTTTCCCTAACCTACTGTACATGAGTAAATTCATTAAACGATTAGACCTTGACCTATTGAAGGTGGGACGGTCCGCACTGGAGCAAGCGTGTGCCTTCAGGTTCCGCCGCTGAGAGGAGCACTCAAGGGCCTTTGTCAGTTTCCGCATCCAACCACACCAGGAGAAACAGCTGAGCTACACAGGGACTTTCGCGTCTCCAATCTGGACAAATAACCACCCCCATTTCTCCTTTTTTACATTAGTATTTTTTGGGTGGAGAAAACTAAAACAAGGAGAGCCCCCAGTACGAGTATGGGGGAAGCATGTGGAAATGAAAACCACCCTGAGTGGGGCGGTGCCTGCACCTGCGGTGCCCACTCTGCTCTGGAACTTGGCTTGCTGCTTCCTCACCCACGGAAGCCTGTGGTCACGTTTGGTCCCCTGAAAACCTCCTAACAGTTCTTTAGACGTCAGTATTGACTTGTCAACACCCAGCCTCATCTCTCAGGGTTCTCTCAGCTTGTGGGACAGAAGCCTTCCCTGGTGCTGTCTGCTCAGACTCTGGCACCAGCTCACTCCAACCAGGCCGAGAAACTGAGGGGCCAGCAGGGCAGAGGAAAGGACCATTCCCAGGAGCCAAGTACACAGCTGCATCTCTAAGGCCCTCCTGAAGCCAGAGCTCTCCTCTGCTTTTTAACCGACTGCCACTGTTGTTAGTCCTGTTCTTACAGACATCAAATATATCCCTCAAAACTGTTTCCTCTGGCTAGGTTCAAGACAGAAAGTGATGATCTAAGGGGCTTCTTCTCCCCAGGAGCCCACATCTGCAAGGTGTGATGAATGGCCCTGGGCTAGGCCCCAGCAGCCATCCTGTTTCGGAGTAGCAGGGAAGGAGAAGCCCAGAGAAGAAAAGTGAGCAGGCAGTTTGAATCAACATCATTAATGAGACCCAAAGCAGTTCAGTGGACCTGGATCCCTTAATAAAGCCCTGGTTTTAGAGAGAAACACTGAATTGCCCAGTGGAAATTATAACACTTTACTTTGTGCAATATTTTGGTCCACTCTTAGTTTCTTTTTTTCTTCCTTTTAAATTATGCAATTGAAGGAACACCCAGCACACAACCTGACATAGAACATGTGAGAGAACCGGCCGGTGATAGAAGCTCAGGCCTCTGACCTCAGGTCTGAGCTCCCCTCACTTCTCCTGCTGGGGCACTGAGCTGCAACCCAACCAAGCTGGAAGGGTGAAGGAGATGGCAGCTTCTGCTCGAGGAGCTCTCCTTGTCCCTGCTGTTGCCTAGCTGTCAACACCAGTCTTGCCACGTGCCTGAGGCTAGGATGGGAGCCCAGTGTCCTCTGTCCAGCAGAAGTGCCGCTCACCTTCCCTAGCTGCAAGGTAAGAGACTGAGGATCTCCCGGAGGAGCTGCCTCAGGCCAGGTCATCCAGGTCAACTTTGGGGATCGGATCTCGCCAGTAGCAGAAGGAGCTGAACTCTGGGCATGGAAAGGCAGAATTCTGTTCCTTATTGAGAAGTGGGAACACGTGCTCCACAAGTTCACTCAGCCTGTGATACCTGGGAGAAGGGATCAGGGAAGAAAAGCACAAACAGTTACTGTGAGGTTGATCTAAGGGCACGAGACTGCAGGTTGTGAAGCTAGTTATTCAGATTCTTCAGATGGGTAGGATCAGAGACAGGTCTTCCTTCCCAGGCAGACTTCCTCTTCCAAGTATAGGAGAACCAGTGATCCCATAATCAGGAGAAAATACCCAGGCAAAGAGGAAAGCCTCCACAGGCAGGTGTAGTTCTGATACTTTGAGCGAGGCCTGATCTTTAGTACCAGTCTGTCCCCATTGTCACCCTGGCTGCAGGGCACTAGGCTGAAAATGGAAACATACTTACGATGACTTGTTTCCTTTGGTCCTTTCTTGTATTAATTCACCCTTGGGGTTCACGGTGAATATTCTGCAGTCTGGAACTCCAACTTGTGTGTAAGCATAGACATCCTGGAGAAGAAAACATCAAGCAGGGAAATTAGAGGGAGAAGAAATCAGGAGCTGCTCCTCCAGTCCCTTGTGAGCCGCAACTACACAAACAGAAGACTGTCGATGGAAAACACACAGAGCCAGGCACCGTGAAGCTCTGCCACTGAAACTGAGCTTTACACAAACCCAAACAAAAAGTGGAGCCAAACTCAGACTGTGCTGGGGGATGCGGGACACATGAGCACCAAGGAGATGCTGGGGGCACCCCAGAGCAAGAGGGGCCCCCCTGCCTGCCAGAGGTGAGGAGGCAGCCCCTTTTGCATGTCTGGCATCTGAGGGCCTCTCCAAGAGGAAGCAGGTCAGAGAAGTGTTAACTAAGGGTGAGCAGTGCTGCTATAGTTCTGGGGCTGATTCAAGGGCATGACTTAGGACCACTCAGAAGATGAATCAGAACCACCTGAGGAAACAGGACTTGAAGACAGAGAAACAAAGAGAAAGTGCCCTTCATCATACGAGATTCTGGGGGCAGAGCTCCATCAATAGGATCTCCCTGATTACTCTAAGAAATCTGGAATAGACAAAGTGAAAACCTATTTAGCAGAACAGGCATTTATTTTGCCTATAAAATTCCCCTGAGAATCATGACATAGCTACATCCTAAAAGTGTTACATTCCTCTGGATTTTATCCGCCACATCGGAATGCGTGGCCTGAAGGAAACACTTACATTTGGACGGTTCCCAAAGGCAGCATAGAAGGGCTGCTTGCACGGGGCAAACAGGTTCTTGATATCATTTAGACACTCAATTTTGAATTTCTCTGGTTTCTTTTCTATTACTTCCCTGGGGGGGGGGGTGGAGGAAAAGAATCAAATACAGTCACCAAATTCAAAATGGCAGTTCCCCCTGATATATATAGTACTGAAAAGTTTTAGTTCTCACAACCACCCAATTTGTAAAATCCTTAGTAACTAGTATCTATCCTTTTTTTCCCAGTAAATCTGATGGCTAAGAAAATCTGATAGGGTTTGGGGAAAGAAAAAATAACCACTCCTAGAACTTGACTTTCTTTGACCACACTTGATGCAGACCAGGTGAGCTGTGACTTAGAATGCTATGGGGGAGCCAAAGACACGAGAAAGAAGCCCTAAAACAGATGCAGACCCTTCCAACGAGCCTGACACCCAGCTTCACACACAGTCCACCCAGGCCACAGCACCCCGGCCCGGGTACTCAGAAGGGCTGCCTGCTGAAAGGTACCTGTGGAAGGCAGAGAACAAGCTGCTGGGCGACAGCATCAAAGGGCCTCGGGGCAAGATTGTGCCCTTGTCATTGACCCAATGCAGGTAACCACGGGTCATGTCGGCCATGCCAATGGCACGAGCAGAGCAGTACAGAAACTTGTAGCCATTCCTGAAAGAGAATGTGTCCTATTTAGCCCACCATACTTTGGCTGAAGGTGGGGAAAAAAAGCACTTTTCTTATGAAAGATCCAAGTAAAGATCATCTCATTTACTGTGAAAATCAAATTCTTGAATTTATCAGGAAAATAGGATTATAAAGATTTCACCTCTCCACAGAAAAAGCCCTGGGGAAAAATTATGCAACTAGGGATTATGCTAAATTTATGATTTAATGTATCTTCAGCATCCAGTCCATAAAAGGCAGCTTACAGAACAGACAAAAGATCTTATTTATAAAGAGAATTTGCAGAAAACATGCCATTCTGTAAACCAAGGAGCAAAATTATATCTGGGTAACTGACATTATTTTCATATTAGGGCATTTTCAACTCATGTTTAAGACACTGTAATATTTCAGATCGGTTTAACTCACATGTATCAGTGTCCCACAAAGGCCACGGCACTGCGTCCTCTGCTGCACTAGCACAGAAGACCCCACAGAAGGAATTCCCAGTTTAAAAGTACCTAAGTACCCACAAGTATCCAATTCATAAAGCAAAAGTAAAAATCGGCTCTTGTTAAGTCACAGCTAAAATCCCAATTATAGGTAAACTATAAATATAGGTAGTGCCTAAAATTCACAGCACTGAGAGAATGAGGTGATGTATGTTGGCTGCCACCTTTCTTTGTGTGAGGCTATGGGAAATAAGAATGGGAATTGCTGGATCATGAAACACATGACTGCTATTTTTGATAGATCTCAATCAAAGCAAAATTCTCGTTCACTAGAGTATATTATCAGGAAGGAGAGGAGACCTACTCATTGATGGCGTGGTAGAGCCTTGCAATACCCTGATGAGTCCAGTCTTTACCTAGCTGCGGAAGAATCTGTCCCAAGGCATCAGACCTAGGAGGGTAGAAGTAGGAAAAGATATTAGGAATCAAGCACTTAACACCCAAGTGTTTTCCTTTTTAGTTATATACTAGCTGCTGAAAAACATTGGGGGAGGGACGGGACAATCTACAGGGCAATTTGCAGCAAGGCAGTCTCCTGCAAATACACCCAAGGGTGTTCTGAGAGCAGAATCAGACGTGAGAGCCGGCTGTTCATTTTCAGAGATAATTTACAACCGCATGCCCTTTTTTCCTCCTCCTTAATCTCAACAGCTTCTTGGTGTTTTTTTTTTAAATATTAATATTTGAAGACCAAATAACTAAATCTTTCCAAAAGTTATTTTCAACATTACATTTGCATGGCTCCACCTATCTTCTCCATCCATTGAATGACCCTGTGTGGACTGCACTCAGAATGCCTCAGTGTATACAGTTTACACAGCACTCCTGACGATGGCTGAGGGTTGGGTGCCTGCTGAGGGAACTCCCCTCCCCTCCTCGACCGCGTACTCGTCTGTGCTTCTTCTCCCTGCCACCCAAGAGCTCCTGCTTACTTGGTTATTGTTCCATCTATATCAGAAATGATGATCTTGTCATTCCAGTTCCATAAGTAAATGGTCCCTGCACAGCGGCAGGTACCTTGATACTGGGTTGTAATACTAAACACAACATCATTTGGACCATCTTGGAGCTTCAGTTTTGCCTTTATAAAAAGTAGAAGAAGAAAGAAAACCATAAGGGCAAAATTTTAAAAACTGATGGAATTACATGCAACAATCAAAAGTTACATTTTCCAATAATACGTAGTCACTGAAAGATTGCCTGAAACATAATGTTAAATGAAAAGGAACATAATCTCTAAAATATATGAACATATGTATGTGTGTATGAATAATGAGAAGAAATACATTAATACAATAACTGAAATATAAAAAATATCAGCTGGAAACACAGTTTGGAGAAGAGTCTAAATGTTTAAAAAACACAATGGTGCCGGCCATGCCACCACAGGCCTGGCCCAGTGCTCGGCCTGGAGAGCTGCCACCTGAACGACTTCGGGGTCCAAGACACTTTTCTGATCCCCCAAACAAAAAACCTCTCTGCTCTTCCTCCATACCTAAGACTGGGGTCATAGCAAAACCATTTCACAATGAAAACAGGTGAAAAGCCAGGGAGTGAAAACAAACAGGAAAGAGGAAATTGTGTCTAAATAAGAAAACATTATTTCTCTATTCCTGTGGCTCTCAAGAGATAGTGCACGACCCAGTGATGAGCTAGCTGTGTAAGATTCGTGGGGAAGACAGTTAAAAATACAGATTCCTCAGCTCAATCCCAGAAGCTGAGGTGGGAGGTTAGGGCTGGAGGAGGAAGTTATGTACTAGGTTCCCCAGGTGATCCTGGTGGTCCCCAGAGGTGGACATTTATGTGAGCGTTTATATGACCACTATGTTGTATGTGCAAAGCTTGGGATCGAGTGGACAGAGGAGGCAGGCCAATGTACTCCGTTACTAAGCTAATCTGACTAGACCCACGCGAACACACACTACTCACGATCTGGTCCGAGGAGAGGCGGAGAGACTTCTTGTAAGAGGTTGTGCTGCTGTGGCTCGGGGGCTCCATAGGGATGGGGTCCATTTTGATTGACTCCTCAATCTCCTGGGACCCTTCATCACTGGATGAGTCATCCTCTGCTGGCCTATTCAACATCAACCCAGTCACTGAAGAGGCAGTAAGCTATCTGATAAGAGCTTTGCATTTAGGATCGAGGGAAGAAAGAGAACCTCATTCTGCTCTAGAAATGGGAGCAGTTTTTCCCTCTGCTGCTCTCCCACATCCTGCTTCCATGCCTGAATGTTCATTTCATGAAGGGGTAATGGCACCTTCCCCCTCCCTCCCACGATTGGTCAGGGGTTACTTTCTGGCTATGACTGGGCATTTTCTGCTATGACCAATGAGTGCTAATTGTTGAAGGAGATATGTGTATTTCAAAAGGTAAGAAAACATAATTGCTTCTGTTTGTTTAAAAAACTAACAAGAAAGATTTTCTACACTCTGGTTAAGAGAAGAGGGAAAAGAGCAGCAAGAATCTACTGTCGCAGGGACCACTCAACTACAGAGGGAAGGGCAGAAGAAAGAGTGTGACTGGGGAAAGCACACGCTGGCAGACAGAGCGGGTGCGCGGCGGCACTTCCTCTAAGGGCCAGCCGACCTGAGGGTCCACAGGGGAGCTGCTCTTCCACGGAGGAGTCAGACCCACACTGATCTCCGACACTCTCTTCACTGTCTCCCCTTTTGTGTCTTCCAGGAAGTCAGGGCGCAGGGCCGCCAAGGACAGGGGGTCTGAGGCTCCTGAATGCTCCCCCTTCCCAAAGGCCTACACTTATTTCACAGGCATCTGATTCCATGGCTCCATGATGGGAGGAGCAGTAATATATATATATTTACTTTTCAAAACAAATATTTTTTAGAAAAGCAAAAGTTATCATTTCCTACCTGAGTGGTACAAACAAGCCACTTATTCATGTACGGCTATAGGAGAAAAATATTTATGACTAAGAATTAAACAAAACTGCCAAAATCAACTTGAATGCAATGACAAAAGCAGGGTGGCTTAAACGCTGTGAGCTTGGAGGAAGAACAGATGCCCACCTGCCACTGGCTGGCTCCTTTGTGCTTGATGGAAGGTCACTGGTGGGCGGCACCTCAGATTTCCCTTCCTTAGCCTCTGGCAGCTAAAAAGGCAAGATAATAGTGGTAAAGTGCAGCTTTGCCTCCTACTGATGAAGATTCATGAACGGTCCTTGCCAGGAATGAACAAAACTGCTTTCTGAATCCATAACTTTAAAATGCTCAAGAAAACAGACTTTCTGTAGTTTGTGCCAAAGGACAGAAACCTGAGACAGAAGTCACATATTGCTACTCAAAAGCTGTCACTACAAAGCCCAAAGAAAAAAATTTTAAAGACCACCATTTCAAGTCACAAACTATAATACAAGTGGTCCACATTCACTAGGTTCATAGCAGAGATACCAGGATTACAGAAGTGGCGGATGTCGCAGCCTCCTGTATAGGAAGGAGGATAACAAGCTCTCGCTCCATCTGGAAGGTACTGCAGCCAAGTGGAAAAAACACAGGTGCAAGGTCAAACCTAACTCCATCTCTTACCAGTCAAAGCACTTCATCTTTTCATGCCCCAGTTTCCTTACCTGTACACAATGGGAACTCAAAACATCTTAACTTTTGGGCTACTGTAAAGGAAAAGGGGTAATATATGTAAAGTAACTAGCCTAGTACCTGCACATAGCAACTGTTTGAAATTGGTGACTATTATAGTGAAAGAGTATTATATAGCCCAAATGGACTTTTTATTGGGCTTGGCAAAGATTGTTTTTAATAAGAAGATTCACTTCTTTTTGCCTCATGGAAGGATACCCCTTAGTTAGTTACCTGTTTGGTCATGCTTTCTCTTTTACGCCAAAACCACCAGCGACCGGATTTCTTCGGCATCTTATCTTTGACCCAGGACTCGACTGTGGCCTAGAAACAATCAACTTGGGGTTAGTCTGGCAATCCGTCTGTCACAAAGTATCTGACTGCCTCCTACCACTAGCCTGCAGAACAGTGCTTCATCATGAAGTATGAGCAATGATCTCCACACCTCCCAAACTCTAGAGTTTTTAACACCTGAGGGGTGAACAGTGCCCTCTTTCATGGCAGCCTGGCTTCCTGGCAGATCTGTGGTATGAGGCCGAGGTCCGATTACAAGCCAATGATGTCTTCTTGCAGGACAGATGCAAAGCAACCTTCAGGTCTACATAATTAAGTTTACCAGCTATAATTTGACCAAACACACTGAGGTCATGCTTCTGGTAGCCACCTCACCCTTTTCTTCCTGGTTCTTTCCATATTCATGAGAGAAAATTTTTTTCACTCATTCTACATTTAACAATTAGTAAAATCTCTCAACTTTTACACACACTCAGAAACCAGTAAAAATATCTAGTAAAAATGCCAAACATGTGACAGCATAGCTAATTTCCTAGATTTGGGGCATAAGACCATCTGAGTGGGCTCAAGAACTCTTTGAATCATTCATAATATTAAATAAAACTTTGAAAAGTACCCAGTTCAGAAACATGCACATATAGATTTTTCTAAGTACTATATGCTATAGATACCTTTGAAAAGGCAACAAATGTCAGATTATCCCACCTTAGGCAAACTCTTCTGGAACACTTGCAAGCTAAGGATCATGGGAGCAGCCAAAGCCCAGTTATAGTAACTGTCAGAAATAAAAATTGTGTAAAATCATTACACAGAATGACAAATGAGGGAGAATGGGGTAGGGAGGGAGAGAAAAAAAGAGGTAGGAAGAAGGGAGGAGAAAAAGAAAGAAATAATATAAAATTTCTTATTCTTTTCAGTAAAAAGATGATCAGCTAATCTTTTTTTTGGTCACATAAATAGTCTTTGCTTCAGGTCAAACTTCTCCGAACAGAGAAGAAGAAAAATCTACCAAACAGAATAACATTTCAATACCTCACTTAAAAATGAAGCTGAAGCTTCATTGTGAAGTTACTGCCCATTTGCTCATTTATACAAAATGACATATTCTGTAGCAAGAAAAACTGTGTAATAGTTAAAAAGAGCACTTGGAAAAAAGCCCTGCAAGAGTATTTAACAATTGCAAAAGCAAGAATATTTACCGGTTATATATCCGTATTACAAGGTTAGGATTGTCTATAAGTCCAGGGTTTTCTGCAAATTCATGGTAAGTAATGATATGCTCCATGAATTTTTCTGCAATATAAAATAATAATAATTATATAAATTCCCAAGTGAGATTTTCATAATACTCTCTGTATTGAAAAGACTAGAACAGAAAATATTTCCTTAAAAAAAAAACCCACAAACCTTAAAATAAAATAAATAGTTTTTCCCCAAGACAAGAAAGAATACTTCTGCCCTGGCTGGTGTGGCTCAGTGGATTGAGCTTGGGCCTGTGATCCAAACAACCGCGGTTCGATTCCCAGTCAGGGCACATGCCTGGGTTGCAGGCCAGTTCCCAACAGGGGACTCACGAGAGGCAACCATACATTAATATTTCTCTCCCTCTCTCCTTTCTTCCCCTCTAGAGATAAATAAATAAAATCTTTTAAAAAAAAAAGAAAAGAAGGAATACTTCTATCCTTTCCCTCTTCTACCACTCTTCCCCAGGTGAATATTAAAAAACAGGAGAAACAAGATATGCCAGAGACTTAGAAAAATAAATTTACAGGTTTGGCCAGACGGACAGGGAAAACACACACAGAAACACACTCTAACACTAATGAAAACTGAAGGTTTCATTCTTATGAAAGGGAGAAACTCTTCACTGGGTAGGCAACTGCATAACTGAGGAGTCTTTATGGGGGTCTTACAGATTAAAGTGCATGCTACATTAGACAAAAAACAAAACACTTTACATTGCTTGGAGAAAAAAGCACACATCAAAATTTGGCTTTGGGTCTGTCAAGAAATAAATCCTAAGTTCCTGCAGAATGAATGAGGTTTTTGCATAAATTTTTGTACCCTTTTCTTAAACCTGCACTGTAGCTAACAGAAATTTTCTATGCTAACAGAAATTTTCCTCCTGGTAATTTGTGTATTACTTTTACCTGCCATTTCTGCCCATTCTGAAAACAAAATCTCCTTTTTACACAGTATAAATTTTATAGTTTATATAAATTGTCAATTTTCCATTCCCCACTCCTTATATTTTTTTAAGGGAAGGCTTATGAGGATTACAACAATGTGACCTATTTAATTTTGTTCTCTGGCAAAAAACCATTGGCCATAATACACTCTTAATTTCTTGCAAGAAATAAAACAAAAAGAATGGAATTAAGAGATGGGGGGAAAAAGAGAGGCATACTGAGTATCCTGAAAGAAAAATATTTAGGCTACACAGTTTAGGCTCAGGTGCACCCAGTCTGCCACATACGGGCCTTCGGACTCTCTGAGGATAATGGAAGACAAAAGATGATGCTAGTCATGGAAAGAAAATCTTTCATCAGAGGAAAATCAAAGGCCACCAGCCAAGGTGACAAAACGGCTGAAGAACCTGGGACGGATGCACACACGGTGCTGGGCCCACAGGAGAGATGTCAACCTACCACTGCTAAGCTTCCTCCTCCCTCTCGAGCAACTTTACTCTCCTGGGCCAACTCTCAAGACTGAGAAAGAAAGTAATCCCTTCTACTTTTTGCCAAAAGTAGAATTCATTTACTCAGTGAAAAATCGATTTTTGACAATGTCGAACCCTGCGTTCCTATTCAAGGCTCAGTGCTTTTCAGGAAGGAAGATGGGCCCCAGTCTCACAGATATTTCAACAACTTTACAGATGAGAAAACTGACTGGGCCCGAGCTGACCCTGGCTGCTCAGCAAACAGGACAGCCCAAGACCTCTAACTCTCTTAATGTGAAGTGAGAGCCTTCAAAGGCACACTTCCTCACCTAAGCCATTTATGTGGAATGTCATCCCATATGAGGGATTTTAAGTGAGGGGCTGAGGTCTTACATTAAAAAGAGATACCTGTTACCTGCTCAATATCATTAAAGAATTTAATTCCTGAAATGGCTCAACAGCAGGTTTTCAATCAAATGATGACCAGGCTGCTTTTTTCAAAGTGAAGATACAGCATGATTGCCCAGCATACCTTTAGAAATTTCTCCATTCTCACTGAGGCCCCCACAGAGGGAGAGGGTGACGTCGGGCAAGTCCATGGCAGAATCCGAGAGGCACTCAGTGCCACTATCGGCAGCTGCACTTCCCACGGACTGTGGGGACTGGGAGCCAGAGAGCGTGTCAGACTCGGGCCACTGCCTGGAGCCAGGATCTGATTCACTGCAGGTGGGGGACAGGGAGAAAAGGATTTGCTTTATTACAACTTCTTGTATTCCTAGCTTACTACATGGTTCTCTGAGGGCTCAAACCAAATAACAAATCCCCTTTAGAAAGTGATAGACTGATCTACAATCAGACATAACTTTTCTCATAGCTTAGAATCATGTCATAATGAAATTGAAAATAACCTACCAGCACCACTAAGGAATTAACTGCGAACACAGTAAATGTCACAGAACTTGCTCTAAGTTATTCACAATAACACAAACATTTCAACCACAACCTTTCTGATCCTAACTAAAGGAATAAAAGAGTTTTAAGCATTTATTTATATTTCTATGATGAAAATGACAGGGTAATTAAGGAAAATCTGATTTTGGAAACCTTTCATCCTAACTTCCGAGAAAACGCTGTGTACTATATATATCCTGTAGAAAACTACCATAGTCAAAGGCTGTATTATTTTTTAAAACAAGGCTTTTCTAAATTCATCTATTACTCCACAAAATAAAACACATATATTAAGTAAGAGAAAATTCTCAGGAGGAAATGTATTAAGAAATAAACTAAAAATGGACTGTTAGAGTAAGGGCCAGAAATAAATATGAGGATATTCAATAATTTCACTTTTCTAGATGATAAGGCATAGAAGTCAGGTTTTCAGAAGGCAATTTTAAGGAAAACTTGGTAATAGAACAAATATTTGAGAGAAAAAAGAACAAGGGAACAGCACCTTAAAGTTTATTAGTCATGAATGCTTAAATGCTCTATACCCTTTGAGTGAATAATGTCACATTTACTGTTCTAGAATTTTCAAATTCTTTTCTTTTATTCAGAAAGCCAATAAAGTTAATGTATGTGACCAATATATGCAATTCGCGGTAGTTATAAGGATCTTCAGAAATCTCTAATTTGAGCAGCAGATGGCAACAGAATACATATTTATCATTAACCAGAAAGTTTCAAAAGCTAGTTCTGCATTTGAACCAACAAAAAATTTAGGCTTTTGGAAATGTTCTGTCTTAATAGCAATGTACAGCCATATTATAATACCGAAGTTAACTCAGAATGTTCTCTTCACTGCAAATGGTGAAAAAGCCAAAGCCCATATAAGGCAGGAAAGCCTACTGCTTTGCTGGGGCTAAGGAAAAAACACCAACAGCATTTCCTCTCTATCATGAGCACACAGCTAGATCCCTTTATAATTCATTAGGTATAGCCACGTAACCAGATGACTGAGTTGTTGATGTGTACAGAAGGGGTGGGCTGTGCCCGTCCAAGCCTGGCACCTGGAAATTACCCCATGTGACCCCCTCTCCTTTCCCTGCTGAGGCCCTAAGGGAAAGTTGGGGCAGGGTGGAATCTCAAGATGGAAGGGGTTTGTGCTCCTTAATCGCTTTGTGCAAGGCCTCCCACCAAACAGCAGCACTGGAATACACTTGACCCTTGAACAACATGGGTACAAATTATGCAGATACACTCATACATTGATTTTCCCCAATAGACAGTCAGCCCTTCATACCCCTGGGTTTCACATCCGTGGATTTGACCAACCATGGATTAAAAACAGTATTTTCTGGGGGAATGGAGAGCTGACTGCACTGTTCTACACCATCTTGTAGAAGGGACTTGGGCATCTGTAGATTTTGGTACCTGTGTTATGTCTTGGAATTGACTCCCTGTGGGGGGATGACTGTAGTTAAGTTCTGGGGAAGTCAAAAGTTGTGTGTGGATTTTCAACTGCATGAGGAGGAGTGCCTCTAACTCCCCTCAGTGTTCAAGAGTCAACCGTATTATCACATGGGGTAAGCCACTGAGGTTTTGAGTTTTATCAGAGCAGCTAGTGCACTCTAATCACTATGGGGAAGACACCATCTGACTCTACATGTCACCAAATCCACAAGGGTGATGTGATTTAAAGTTTAATGATAAATACTGATTAGTTAGACAATGATCACAATTGTAACAAAACACATGCTTACAAGCATTACAAGAATTTCACTATGCTTACATATGTATAAAATGTCTCAAGAAAAAATCTGTTCATGAGGTAAGAAGCTTACCTGGTGATTAGCACTGATCCTAAATAGTAAAATTTTAACAGTGCACAGTAGGGTCCCATTGCTTTAGTCACTTTCCCTGCTTTTTAAAAGGAAAACTAAGAAATTTATCTTAGGACTCCAATGTAAGGAAATGACCAAGGGCTGAGAAATCTGAAAAAAAAAAGTGCTAATTCTAAAACAGCTTACATTTTAAGTTTCTTATTGAAGAAAAAAATGGAGCAGTTTGTTTTCTCACCTTAAAAATTAAAATATTACTTTAAATTAAGTAAATATTTGAGACAAACTTAGGTAGGTAGAAGGAAGGAGTTTAAAGACGTAAAAATAGCTATAAAAATTTTAAATACCTTCATATCAATCCCATCTGTCTACTTTAAATAAAAACAATGTTCTCAAACAATTAAAATTATTTAATTATATATCCTATGTTTAAGTGTATTCAAGTCATACTTTCCATGTGGAAAATTGTTTTCTTTGTCATCAGGGTATATTAAAATGGAATTTTTCTAAGAATGAAAATGAACTTGGAAAAAGATACAAGTATATCCTGGCTGAGGTTGTAGAGCCATTCAAGAGGATGATCATGAGGGCAAGGGAGACGAACAAAAGGTGACAGTTCTAAGGAATGTGGGGTGTACAGACCATTTGGAATGGCGCCTCACCACACCCAGGCTTGACTTCAGAAAAAGCCTGGGGCGCAGACTCATTGAGGGAGTGAAGGCATTTTTTGTTAAAATATTTTTCAATACATTTATATTACCTTTAAAACATGTAAGAAATGAGACAAATGCTGATAAATTTTCTTAAGCATGCTGAGTTTGCATTAACGACGATAACAGTGCTAATCTGAAGTTGTATCCATTGGCATGAAATATACTTATGTAGGTTTAACTAGTGTACTTCTTTTGGTGCATTAAAAATTTCTTCATAAAAATAGTTGTTAGTCTCAAATCACTGCAGCTGAAACAACACACAATTTCTGAATCTTCTAAATCTGAAGCAATCATCTAATATAGCTAAAGGACATTATCACCTTGCTCCTTTTTCTCAGACAAAAATGTTTTGCTCTAGAAATAGCTAGATTATTGCAGAGCTGTTCACCCATCAATATACAAGGAATACACTACCTTTTAGGGAAATAGAGAGCTGCAACTTCAGGTTCTAGAGCCTTTAAGTCATCTAGATAAATATCATCAGGTCCCTGGTGCTGGCTTCTCTTGTGGACACCTGTTTTTTAAATAAGAAAAACACATCAGAGGTAAGAACTTAGTTATTCTCCATTTACAACTCTGCAAGAAAATAAAGGCTTGCAAAAACTGACCATGATTTGAATTGGGCTTTATTTTTTAAAGTGTCAAACAACCTTTTCACTTGTGCTGGTTCTCAAATGTTTATGCCAATAAAAGTGAAATTCAGTGTTACACACAGAATAGCTGTTCAATAAACATATACTAATTTATTCATTCTTTTCATTTGTTGTTACATGACTAATCCTAGCCCCTAAAAATAATTTATATTTGATCAAGTATTTTTTATAACTATAGTACAATCAAGCATGACCAAACTTGATGAAATCACTGGCATTAAGAAAGAAGACATTATTCTAAAAACATGAAGAAAAGGTTGTTGGGGAACAGGACATTCACACGGTGCTAAAACATTACCTTCTAATTGCAAAAGGACAAAAATCCTTTACAAGAAATAAATTCGGCCCACAATACCATAAATAAGTGATTACATTTAACATCATTAATAGTGAGACATTATGAGATGTACTATTAAATACTCAATATATCCCATAAAGTAATCCTCAATTCAAAAATAAACAGTATGTAGCCCAAATCTAATTAAGCCTCTAATTCTGTACTGCTGACTACAGGAGCCACCAGCCGCATGTGGCTATTGAGAACTTGGACTGTCCTACTTTGGTGTAAGGTATTAAAATGTGTTTAAGAAATGCAGAAAACGTACCAGGTTTCTAAGACTTACTTTATAAAAATCAAAATCTCAATAATTTTTATATTAGTTACATGTTAAGTTTCTAATAAGTTGGCTCTACTGTTTTAAATAGAATATATTACTAAATTCAATTTCACTTGCTTACTTTTCACTCTTTAAATTTGTGAGAAGACAAAATTATATATGCAACTCACATTACATTTCTAATGGCTAGAGCTAACTTCCAGTTGAAGGAAATAGAGGAGGATGTGACCCTGAAAAAAGAAAACAACTGGATACATCCACAATGTAGGAAAGTATACCAAACAATTGGCTGGGCTCTTCAAAAGGTCAAATCATGAGTGTAGAGGAGGAAAAAGGTATAGAAGTGTGTGTGTGTATGTGTGTAGGGGATATTCTAAATAAAAAATGCTACATGAACTTAGATGAGATCTTGGTTTGGGAAAAGAAAAAATCAGGAAGCTATTCTTGGCCCATTTAGGAAAATACGAATATGGTTCCTCAACATGACAATTGTACTATGGTTAGGCAGAGAATCTTCTTATTCTTAGAAGGTATACCTTCTTGGGGTGGTGAACAAACAATACAATATACAGCTGATGTATTACAGAATTGTACACCTGAAACCTATATAATTTCATTAACCAATTGTCACCCTGATAAATTCAATTAAAAAAAGAAAGTGTATATTGGAGTAAAGGTGAAATGACACAATACCTGTAAACTGGTTTCCAAAACAGCTTACAACAATCCAAAACTTTATGTGTGTGAAGACACAAAAAGACAGGCATAAAGTGAGAGTGAGAGGGCAAGTGTGCCAATGTGCACAAAACTTTTCAGAATAAAAGGGTGGGGGCAGGGGAGAATGAAGCCAAATGAAGGATGGAAACCACTCTGTGTTCTTAACTCTAGTCAGTTCCTACACTATGTGCTAAGGGTGGGGTGGTCAGAATTTCCTAAACAAAACATTCACCGTGTAAAATGGATTCCCCCCTTTAACATTTCACCAAGCAGAAGACATGGTTATGAGCTTTTGGTTTGAGAACTGCTGATCTATGAAAGAGTAAGGTGCCAAATTAAGCTGGATCATCAGCTGGATGATCACATTGGCCACAAATCCTTTTAAGTAAGTTATTTCTAGTGACCCTGAAGGTTCGTACTTGTAGTGAATATTTTTATTAAGTCAGTTTGTGATTATCCACCCTTTGGTATTAAAATTTTTTAAAATGGAAGTACATATCTGGCTATACGTGACAATGAGTATTTTTAGAGAAGGTATTTACTTCCCTAAAAATAGGATCTAAGGCTAATTTTCAGATGGTGTGTTTTGGCTCTTACTGTATGTACCAAATATCAATAAATAACTTTGGATTTTTAACTAGGAAGAATATTGTGATTAATTAAACCTGAAAGTGAGATACAGCTGTGAAGCTGAGGAGCTGGACCCTAGTTCTGCTTCAGAGGGAAATAATGAAAGAGAACACATGCTAATAATTAGTGTGCATTTATCTATACACCTCATATTACTGGGAAAAAAGTATTTAGGCCTCAACTAATCAGATGTTTTTGGTGAAAATATTTTTTCTAATTTTTTTTGTTTAAACATAATTTTTTAGAATTTCACTTCTCTTTTACTGACATATCTAGTCAATAAAGTGGTTAATTTTACTCATGAACTTATTTAAATATTGTCTTTTCCAATGAGTGCTTCTCATGGGCCTACTGTGCAACAACGGTTGGGAAAGAGCAGGGAGAAAGAGTCCTGCCCCAGTGGATCCTGTAATGCGATGGGGAAGCCTTATTAAACAAGTAATCCTACTCGGTTCTGATCATGGAATACACATATAAAGGTAACCATCACATAATATTTGAAACACTGAAATAATTTACCATCTAAATTTGGAGTACCTGATGCCAAATTAAAAAAAAGATTACCTTTCTTCTTTGATGGCGAGTCTACTTTAGCTGCTGGTTTTGACTCTGAGGAAGCCTCCACTAATGATGGGTTAGGAAGGTGGTCTGCACTGAACACAGATGAAATCTGAGGCTCAAGGAGAGGCTCAAGAAGTTCTGAAGCACAAGACGCATCGCTCATCTGCTTACACAGGGCTCTTGGTTTGGGTTTCACTACAGTACAGACCGTTTCTCCCATGGATGCTGCATCCTTCTCAACTTCACTTATGAGGTGGTCCTCACTGGGGATTACCCGAAAGTGCGTATTTTCTGATGGTGTAATTGTAGCTGTCCTAGGATGATGGTCAGATCTCTCTCTTTTGCTCACCTAAAAAAATTGAATTGTTTAAAAATTAAACTACTTTCAAAGGTGTTTGGTTTAGTCAATTCCTTAAGCTAGATGCAGGTAAATGTACTCATTTTATTTAAACACCACATTTAGTAAATACATTATTTTATGTGTGAAATATTTCATAATTAAAAGTAAGAAAAAGTAGTAACTATTTTGTTCAGTATCACATTTATAAAAGTTATATTTATAATTGTTCTATGAAGAGTTTGACACTGGAGAAGACTAAGAAAATAAATGACGATTTTTAAGATACTGAGGGGGAGAACATTCATTTTCAGGGAGAAAACGTGAATGCTACAGGGAAGTTAAGCCCTGCTTTGACTCTCTCCAGGCTCTGTTAAACAATGTAAGATGGCGAATAATAATGCTGTGAAACCCATTACATGTGACCCCATATTACATGTGAAACCCATGTTATAAATCAATGTTATCTCAACTTAAAAAGAAAGTAAAAGTGGACAGTGAAGTCTCAAATGCAATCACACATAAAAGTAAAACATTTATTTAAAAAAAACTAGAGGTCTAAAATATTTTCTCTTCAGAGGGAGAAATATAAACACCGTATGATTTCACTTATATGTGTAACCTAAAAAATAACATGAACAAAGAAAATGAAACAGGAACAAACTCATGGATACACAAAATAAACTGATGGCTGCCAAAGGGGAGGAGGTTGGAGGACTGGGCAGAAAAGGGGAAGGGAATTAAGAAGTACAAAATGCCAGCTATAAAAAAGTCATGGGGATATAATATATAGCACAGGGAACAGAGTCAATAATATTTTAATAACTAGTATGGTGACAGATGAATAGTTATTGTACCGGTCATTTTATAAGGTATATATAAATGTTCAATCGCTATGCTGTACACCTAAAACTAATGTATAATGAATATCAACTATAAAGTAAGTTTTAAAAAAACTTAAAGTTGGGTTAATTCATACACACAAAATAAAATTAAAAGTCTCAATATATGAATAAATAAGACATGTTATCTTTTCAATTCTTTCTTCTCTCATTATAAGTTGTCAAAAAACAGCTTTCACAATCAATTTGTTTAAAATTTCAGTGTGAAAATTTTCATTTCCTTTAGGTAACTTTAAAATTTTCTTTACTATAGTGTTAATTAACAATCAACATTACTGACTAAATAGAAACACAGAAAATAATGCTAGATGCCTTTTGTTGTAAACAGTGCAAACTTGAAAGTGACAGATGTGATCTTTGAACTGACTTATGTGACCACATGAGGGCACTAGCATCATTATGTTCAGACTCACAGACAATGAACACACTCTGTAGGCAAGCAAACCCTAGTACCTTGGTGGACTCTGGAAACCCGCCCCACGTCCACTCCATGTGCGACTCGGACCTGAGCAGGCTCTCGGTGGGTTTCACCTCCAACTCTGAATCGCTCTTTGGGCATGCTGCTGGGGAGTATGGGCTGCAAACACAGGACAAAAAAATGAAATGACTTTAAAGTTGAGAACTTCAGTGTTGCTGAGCTTGACAGATTGAAAGAAATGTTAAGTCTGAACTTATCAACTGTATCCTGCAGATAAATTCTACTACAGAAAATGTTATTTCGTCTTCTCGAGTTTTTTAGTAATAATAAAAACAATGCTAACTAGTATTTTATGGTGGATGTGCTGGGTCCTCTGCAAACATTTTCTGTGCATCATCCCATTTAATCCTCACAAAAAAATAAGAAAGGTAATTTTACAGGAGAGGAAATGCACGGAAAGATGGATTAGATTAACACTACTACATGAGGGAAACTGCACTGGAACACAGGACAAAGTGTGACTGCCTGTTTCTTCATGATGTTATCCACAGTACAGTTAGTTAGTAGTTGACACTAAAAGATGAGAACTTAAGAACTGATGTACGGTGGCCAACACAGTGAGAGGAAGTTAGATTGAGGTTAGGAACACAGCAATTATTTAAAGAAAAAGTCCACATTCATATTTGAAGCATACATTCAGTGTCTTACAGTATGAAAGTAATGGGAGATACCGTTACTGTCCAGTAACAGGAAGTTATTTAATATACCTTTCCTTTAAGAAACTGAGAAATTTTGAAAATACTTACTTGTCCAAAGGGGACCAATCTCCATCGGATAAGGGGTAATGATCTCCAGAATGGAAGACCAGAGGCTCTTTATATTCTTCTTCCTTTAAGGAAGCATTTGAAGATCCTCTGTGAAAGGGAAAGAAAAGAAAGGCAGGCACAATGACATTATGTCAACTTCAAAAATCCCCCAAATCCACTGACATATCACCTAAACCATACAAATGAAAAAGGCCGAATGATTAATAATTAACCCTATTACAAGGAACATGTGATGGAGAGGAGGGATTCACTGATGTCACCCATCATACCCTGCTACTTAATTATGGGATATGGAGGGGGGTGGGGAGCAAAGATGTGATTAAAAATTCTTTTTTACTTCTTTTAGGGATAACTAATTGAAAGGCTAGAAGAAACCTGAGGATTTATGTATGTTGCATTCAATCTTTACAAATCTGAGGTAATAATATCCTATTTTAGATATTAGGTAATTAAGAATCTGGAATTTAGTAACTTGCCTTAAGTAAAAACAGCTAGTAAGCCACCGGATTCAAAACACGTAAGCCCTTGTTCTTTCTACTATACTCCTCTGTGTATTACAACAAATATAAGACTATCAGCTGAAGAGCTATGGCTCAAAAATTTAAAAATACACTAAAAACTCTTAACAACCAGAACTTATTTTCTCTGTTTGGTTCAAGCATTAACTGAGAACTTTCTCTTTACTGATGATCTACATGATGTGGGGATAAGAAGAAGATGATATAAAAATGCAATTGACATTCTTAAAATTCATACACAGACCTTGATGGCTGACCTAATGCTAATAAGGTTTTAATTTACTTTACCTTTTGGGTTTCTTGAAATTGCAAAGTTAACACAAGTAACTTGCCATATAACCTTAAAACATCCCTCAGAAGCACTGCCCCTGTTTTCCATCTTTAGTTGGAAATTTATCGCTTGTTCTATTTCACAAAGTCACTATGAGATTAATGTGGTGTGTCACGTTGAAAACTCTGAAAAGTGTAAAGAAAAGTACAAAAACTGGAAAAGTGTAAGGCACTATAAGTGTACACGTTTAATAGCATCTTATAGAAAATTCAATGTTGTACCAGAATATTAGAGATAAAATGAGATCTATCATTTAACTTGCTAAACTAAAAATAGGTCTATGAACTAGTTTATTAATTTTAATGTCATCTTTCTTCTTAGATGGAGGCACAGGTAGATACACTTTGCCTCCTCCTCACAGAATATTACCTTTCTTCCTTTATATCTTAATTTAACGTGTTCTGCTTTACCACTAACTCTGACATGTAACAGTTTTTCCACAAAGCAACGCCTTCTAATTCAAGGTTTTCCTACTGTCACCTTCTTTTGCTCAGAATTACACTCTTGCATCCACCCTCATTCAAGGGGAGAAAAACATATAGAGTGGTACCTTGGCACTTGTAAATTTGTTCCAGAACTTGTGACAAGTGCCCAAACTGAAGAGTACTGAACCACTACGGGGTGGTGTCCTGACTCATTCAAGTTCTAGCACGTGTGACAAATCCTGAGCAAGCACCAAATGTTGAAACATTTTTCCCTTGTCAAAATGAGGTCAATACAAAGTCTGATGAGTTCTGAAGCCAAAGAATACTGAGATATGACTGTACTTGAAAAAGGCAAATGTCTAGGTAAAAATACTCTTTCTTAAGAAATAAAAAGGTAAAAGCTGAAAGGGAAAAATCAGATGCTTATGAACCATCCTTATTTCTCAAATTTAAAAGGACAGTACATCCTGGCCTATCATTATTCATATATGTATATGTGAAAATGGTTTGTAAAGAACAATGTAAAAGCCCTACACACATTTTAATAAAAAATACTTTTGGAACATATTTTACTGCAGCATAAGAGGAAATCCAGGAAGAGTTTAGCAAGGCAAACTGGAATTAATAAAATACTAAAAGGGAGAAAGAGGGATCAGGCAGCGTTAAGAAGTGACAACCCTAGGAAGACACCAAGTGATATTCTCTGGGCATATCCTGACAAAAATAGAGCCCATCAGTTTACACCCGTTAAGGGTGACGAAAAAGGTTGCTAATGTTTAGGTCCCTTTCAGTTCTAGGACTCCTTAACTAACACAGGACTTCTAAAAACCTGCTCACTCAAAATGGCACATATGCCTGAGAACAGGTGACCAGGCAAGCAAACTATGACAAAGTAACTTTATGACAGGAGGCTAAGGAAATAGACATATTAGAATGTGAAGAAAATAGTATGAACATTCATTTTACCTTTGTTGAATGTCAGGATAAATATATGCATTAATGCCAAACAGCAGATGATTTGCAGTATTGTAAATAGTTCAACACTGAGTCAGGGTTGGTGGGGTGTCAGCTTCAGTTGTTGAAGTTCATAGTAACTATGTATAGAGCACTTCAGCCTTCACATATGCACCTCAACATCATGTCATCAAATTCAACATCATTTAGTAAAACAATTATCTTCCCTATTCAAAAATCAACAGAGGCCCTGGCCTATGTAGCTCAGTGGCTTGAGCGCGGGCCTGTGAACCAGAGGATTGCGGTTCAATTCCCAGTCAGGACACATGCCTGGGTTGCAGAACAGTTCCCAGCAGGGGACCCATGAGAGGCAACCATACATTGATACTTCTCTTCCTCTCTCCTTCCCTTTCCCTCTAAAGATAAATAAAGTCTTAAAAAAAAAAAACCCAACCGAGAATACATGATATATATACAACTATCTAAATCCACTTAATTTGCATACTTATGACCTATGAATATTATGGTGTGTAAATTATACCTCAATTTTATAAAAGTTGGGAGAAAAATCAATATAAATATACTAAATTACTTATGTGGGATAGATTAGAAGGTCTAAATGAGTTTTAAGTCTATTTAAATGGTAGTATGTAAGAGATAAATGGGGTTGCTAACTACAATGACCAAAGGTCACTAACTCTGTTAATATTATGTTTATCCTCAACCTTTGCACAGCACCAGTCAATAAATTTCAGTGCGACTAATGATCTCAATTTGCATTTGGATTATTTCCCATAAAAGATACCTCATAACAGAACTGGAAGGACCATGCAATGTTTCTATCTACTATGACAGAAATGAAGGGGAGAAAGAGCAAGGAGCAAGCTGTAAGATTCATGTCACCAAGAACATAGAGGACACTCTATAAGCCAGTAACTAACTAAATCAGGAGATGAAGCATGAAGCCTCAGGCAATAGATGCTGTCTGGAAAAAGTGTTAGGTTGAAATGAACATGGGTACATATATCTTTACAAATGTGTGTTTTCATTTTTTTCAAGGTAAATACCCGGAAGAGGAATTGCTGGATCATACAAGGTCTGTTCGGAAAAAAGTCCAACCATTCTTAACAGAATGAGAACAGTTTGCCTGACATTAATGTAACCTGGCAGCCAAGAAGGGTGGACTGGAATGCACACGTGTGAACAATGACGACTTCACTGTGTTAGTCAGTGGGGGCAGTAGATGCTGTTGAGTGAGCATGTGTACTGTGCGGTCATCACATTCAAAATGACTGAGCCAGAAGAGCAATGAATCTGCATCAAATTTTGCGTTAAGCTTGAATATTTGTCTGTGGAAACTCTTCAGATGATTCAGAAGGCCACAACTATGGGCAACTGGTGATTGGCAGCTTTATCACCACAACACACCTGGCTCATGCATAACATTTCGTGAACAGTTTTTTGCAAAACATCAAACCACCCAGGTGCCTCAGCCTATCTATAGGCCATATTTGGTGTCCTGAGACTTCTGGCTTTTCCCAAAACAAAAATCACTGGTGAAAGGAAAGAAACTTCAGACCGTCAATAAGATTGAGGAAAATGTGATAGAGCAGCTGATGACAATTGGGAGAACTATATGAGGTCCCAACATGCCTACTTTGAAGGAGACTGAGGTATCATTGTTCTATGTACAATGTTTCTCATATCTTCTTTAGTAAATGTGTCTAGTTTTCACATCACAAGGCTGGATACCTTCTGGACAAATCTCATATAGTAGTTCTAGTCTGAGTTTTTTTTACAGCCCTCCATACTATTTTCCATAGTGCCTGCACTAATTTACATTTCCGCAGTGTACAATGGTTTCCTTTTCTCCACATCCTCTCTAAAACTTGTTATTTCATATCTTCTTTATAACTGTCATTCTAACAGGTATGAAGTGGTATCTCATTATGGTTTTGATTTTACTTTCCTAGTAACTAGTGATTGTTGAACAACATCTTTTTATATATCTGTATGTTCACTGCATCATTATTACAATAGCCAAGACATGCAAAAAACAACATGTCCACCAAAAGATGACTAAATAATGATCTCTCTCTCTCTCTCTCTCTCTCTCTCTCTCTCTCTCTCTCTCACACACACACACACACACACACACACACACACACACACACACACACACAGTGGAATAGTACTCAGCCATAAAAAAGGAATATTACCATTTGTAACAATATAGATGGGTCTTGAGAGTATTATGCTAAGTGAATTAAATCAGATGGAAAAGGACAAAAACTAACTCCACTCATTGTGGAGTATAAAACAAAGAGCAACAAACAAATTCATAGATACAACAGAATGGTGGTTTCCAGAGGGGAAAGGGGGTCTGAGAAGATTTGTAAAGTAGGTAGAGGGGATCAAACATATGGTAGCAGAAGGAAACTAAACTTTGCATGACAAGTATGCAATAAAGTATACAGCTATTATAACTTTGTACACCAAAAAATTACATAATGTTATTAACCAATACCCCAATAAATTTAATTAAAAAATAACTTAGGTTCTTTGCACTGAACTCCCAGATATAACTTGTAAAGCAAGTCTGTTTTTGTGGATTAAAAATAGAGGTTCCCTGCTGTATGCTGGGTATTTTATACATTTCTATCAGTGCCATGTTTCATACATTTGTACTCAACATTGTGCTACAGCATTATCCAATCGGAAAAGTCTCTCCCCTCCAACAGGCTCTTTATGCTTAGGTCTGTGTTTTGACTAAATATATACATCCTCTAGGAGGACAAACAAGGCTTTTGTATTATATTTAAGCCAAAAGTCCAAATTTAGGAAGGCACAGACATTAAC